ACAAAATGCAGGTGGCCATTCACACATAGGAAGGATAATTTGGAAATATATTAATCATATAGACAGAAAAATTCTAAACTAGAGTAGGGCATGACGAGTCCAGAGTGGTAGGCAGATACTAGAACATGAAGAGCCTGTAAACCACATTAAGAACTTTCTGTTTTATCCTGAAAGGAATGGGAAGCTCATTACAGGCTTTGATTATTTGTTTCTCTAAGAGCGAAATAAAATTATTGTATCTGTATCTTGAAAATCCAATTCTGGCTACTCTGATATAAATGGATGAGAATAAAGAATACTGTGGTTACTGTGACATAAATTAGGAAAGCATTACAGTGTTGGGGGTGGAGATGGAAAGAAAGAGATAACTTGTGAGAATTATTTAGGAAGCAACAGACACAGAATTAAGGCAACATTAGATATAGTGAAGTGAAGAGAGGCCAAGAGAGACACCCAAGCTTCTGACCTAGCCAGCTAGATTTTGTTTTGGAGAGAAGAGAGGATCATGGGTTAAACTTAGAATTGACCAGCCTGAGCAAGAGCGAGACCCCGTCTCTACCAAAAAATGGAAAGAAATTAATTGGACAGCTAAAAATATATGTAGAAAAAATTAGCCGGGCATGGTGGTGCGTGCCTGTGGTCCCAGCTACTCAGGAGGCTGAGACAGTAGGATCGCTTGAGCCCAGGAGTCTGAGGTTGCTGAGAGCTACGCTGACGCCACGGCACTCGCCCCAGGCAAGAGAGTGAGACTCTGTTTCAAAAAACAAAAAAAACTTAGAATTGAATTTGAGGTTCTTTTAAGATCCAAATAGATTTGTTTGGCAGCTATCATTATAAACACACACTCTTTTTTCTTCACTTTTTTATCGTATATATTTAAGGTGTACAACATGACGTTTTGATATACATATACATTATGAAATGGTTACTCTAGTCAAGTATACTAGCGTATATCAGTCATCTCACACAATTACCTTTTGGTATGTGTCAAGAGCACCTAAAATCTATTCTTTTAGCAAAAATCCCAAATACAGTGTTATTAAGTTTAGTCCTCATGTTGTACGGTAGATCTCTAGACTTGTTCATTCCACGTATCTTCAACTTCAGATCTTTAACCTACATATCCCCGTTTCCTCACCCTTTCCCCCAAGTCCCACCCCTGGTAACCACCATTTTTATTCTCTATCTCCATGTATTTGAGTTTTATTAGACTAC